TTTGAGATCATGCACTCCGATGATTCGTGCATCAACCGGCGTATCGAATTAGCGGGAGTGTACAAACACCTCAAAGAAAGGCGGAAGAGACTGCCGCCGACAAACATGGACCAACATGAACCGCAATTAGCGTCCACACCGGATGACCTAGACTGACCCCGGACTGACTCAAATTGCCGTTGCCAATTGGCCGTTACGCCATGGTGACTGCTAATCATGTCCACCAAGAGGTGGCACAAATTGCAACTCTCAATTAACGCCCACACCAGATGACTATATAGCTGTATCAGCACTTTGAAATGCTAATTGTTCTTTGCCCATTTCTCTCAAGTCTGACGACGATCTGGGGATCCAGTGTCAAAAATTTACTGGACTAATTTATTGATTTTCCCAAAGGACGCCTTTCCTTGAAATTAGGATTCTTATCACGTGCAGGTAGCGCATTCCTTAATTTGGTCTGATTGCAGGATGGGATCTAGTCTTTCCGTTTTACGTTGGAATATACCGAGATTATTAGCTCGATGTCTGCGGGAAGGCCGGGGGGCGGGACATTCTACTTGAAACTGTTTGGCAACCAACAGAAAGTGACTAAAATGAAGTCAACGTGTGACGTGACTAATTCGTGGAGGAGTTTTCCTCGTCTCTTGCTCTTCTCTCATCTCCCGTATAACTGAACTCATCTTAGGTATGACATATTGTAGGTACATTTACTATATTTAGTCGTTACATGGTCCCTTGATGGCAATTTAAATCACAAAGAGACTGAAGCAAGCATGGCGGTGAAATTCAATTTCTCAGGTGAGCAAAGAAGAAGACTATGAAGGAGTACTTACGATACACAAAACGCACATCAGCCTACTTTTTAAATCAAAACATTCTGCTGCTGGGATGATGAAATCTGTTTTTGGAATTGCTCATAGCTGGAGACACGCACGTCTTTTTGTCGCAGTAAAGGGGCACGTGAATTTGGCAACGCATTATGTATGCTTACGGATTGCGCAATAGCAACAGGTATAGGTTGTGTTGTTGTCCAATTTAACTGGGGCGTGAAAGTGTTATTCACGACTGGATATGACACTACAACCCTCTAAATCATTCTGGATCAATGAGTTAGAGGTACTGAGTGCTTCACCAATTCCTGTCGTTGACTCTTACGATTGCGATCTTCGCCTTGTTCAAATTTCTTCCGGGAAAACAATGTTTCAATCTTACGATTGTATTGATTATGTAGCCGCATCAAGGGCATCCTCTATCACA